TGGGTGGGTGGAAGCCGGGCTGCAGCCCTGGGCCTCTGCCCCAGCCCCGACGTGGCCGCCATATTGAAGCCCTCACAGACGCCAACATGTCCTAAGCGTCCCCCACTGTGAGGCCCGAGTCACGAGGCTGCCCACTTCTCCCTCGTCCAAATTAGGGTGCTGCTAAGGACAAAGAGGAATTTAAAATAAGATGCTTAATTCTCTCTGCTGAAAATAAGGCAAGAGATTTTCCTTTATGTCTGAGTATTTACCTTAGAAAACTTGTATTTTCTCACACTCTTTGAAATGTATTTTTAAGAAACTAAATAAGCCTTAGTTTTGCCCCCTAGCAGTATTCTTCTCAAGGCCCTGGGAGCCATGTCTTTGACATGTAACTGTCAGGACAGGGCAGCCCGTCCTCCAGTTTCTGTGGGAGAGGAGGAGCCACACTTCAGCGCCCCAAACTGCTCAAGTCTAACTGTCACACAGACATGTCTGCCCCTCTCACCCCTCAGAAAGTCAGCTAGCTAACGGAGGTGGTCACCCCAGTCACCAGGTAAATTTAGCAAGAACTGCATGTGACAAATGGTGCTGTCAAGTTCTCTGAGGACCACTTACTGTTTATCTGGAGAACATGTACATAATGACTGTACCTGTCTGGCCACACAAAAAGGTGAAATTTCTTTGTTTTTGCGACCTTAGCCAAATGCCTGTGATGGAGGAGCATATTCTAATTTAATCCTCACTCAATAGTGTTTTCTTTCTCTACTACCTTTTTGGAGAAGATGTCTGAATTCAAAGAAGTTTTTTCAAAATGTATTTCCCCAACAGCACCTTCATTCTTTAAAGTTATGGTCTTAAAAAAAATAAATAAATAAAGTTATGGTCTTTTTAACTTGCACCTCTCCTATCCACAAGAAGTACTGAAGGTTAGGTATTTTTGTTAAACTTGCTCCCTTGCACAACAGGTGAAACACAGAAGTCAGAGTAATTCCAAATAGCGATGATGTCACTAGAAGTTGAGGCTATGATTGTAGCTGCTGTTTGTAATTAAGTAATTCCTTCATGCCAGTCTGTCATGTTGAGTGAGAAATAATGGTTCATGATTCCCACTTCTTGAACAGAAAAAAGAAAAAGAGTTTGCTTTTTAATTTTATACACAGTTATAAATTAAAAATTTTAATAACCCAATGTGTTCATCTTTCCCTTTGTGACATCCTTCATTACTTTTCAATTAAAAGAAATTTATCAAAATAATACCTGTACACAGTTATTTTTTAAAAAGGCCAAGTAATTCTAAATAGTTGTAATGAAAAACAGCAGTTCTTCGCTTTATTCTTCAGTGTCTCCACAACTGTATCAGGATTTGAAGAGAGAAACAGAGCCACTTAGAAAGGTAAGAATCTATTACAGAAATATTCCCTTACACAGTGACTGGAGCCCACTGAACAGTCTGTGAATGGGCTGGGGTCTAAGTCGCCAGGGCAGGCAGTCTGGAGGGAAGATGCTCATGAAAGGAGAGCAAGGACAAACTGGAACCTGCATTAGCCTCTCAGCCGCTTGGTGACGAGGGTGGAGCCCAGTCTGTGGGCCCCCTCAGCACAGGCCTTCCATTATAGGAGAAAAGACAGATCTATACTGTGAGTAACAGCAGCCACTGGTGTTTGCTAAGGAGGCAAAGGAAAATTCAATCTTAGTTCTAAAAGATATTACACAAGCATCCACCAAATTATGAACAAATGGTCAGTTTATACACTGGTTTTAAAATATGTCATTTAATAAATACCTTACTTTGTATTCATTTTATTGATCAGTCATTCTTTGAGTATCCTAATATCTATTACATATTGATGACAAATCTGTCACTCCAAATTACAAGTAGTACAACACTAGTGTCTTCTACTTACACCATTTTTGGGTGGAAAACCCTTATTTACATGAAACAAATGAATGAAATAAATTCAAAGTAAATATATTGGGGAAAATACATTTTAATCCACAGCTCTGAATACTAGCATTTAGTTATTGACAATGGTATTTACAATCAATTTTGCAACTACTTTTGTGAAGAGAGATTATCTATAACATAGGGCTATGTATCTACAATATACAAATCGTAACTTTCTTCCAACTAATAAACCATAACTGTGTATAAAAATGGTAACAGTTTAACAGTTAAAACTGCTACAATTCAAAATCACTATAATTAAATTAGATTCTGATAAAGTTTCTTGGGGTTGGGAAATAATGGTCAGCTCAGAAGAGGAGAGGAGGCAAGTGCGTGTAAGCCCCACTTCCTCCCACTTTGAAGCTGTTGCTCCCTGACACAGCTGACCTGCCCTTGAAGTAAAACCTGTCCCTGAATTCTGACTAGAATTCCTGTGCCTGGCCTTCTAAATCTCAAACACTGTTTTAGACCTGTTATGATGAATCCACAGCAGATGGCTTTAACTTTGGGGTGGACTTTTTTTAAGATATCAATGCTCAGTACAGCTCAGTTGCTCAGTTGTGTCCGACTCTTTGCGACCTCAGGACTGCAGCACACCAGGCCTCCCTGTCCATCACCAACTCCCAAGTTTACTCAAACTCATGTCCCTTGACTCGGTGATGCCATCCAACCATCGCATCCTCTGTCGTCCCCTTCTCCTCCCTCCTTCAGTCTTTCCCAGCATCAGGGTCTTTTCAAATGAGTAAGCTCTTTGCATCAGGTAGCCAAAGTATTGGAGTTTCATCTTCAACATCAGTCCTTTCAATAGCTATTCAGGACTGATTTCCTTTAGGATGGACTGGATGGATCTCCTTGCAGTCCAAGGAACTCTCAAGAGTCTTCTCCAACACCACAGTTCAAAAGCATCAATTCTTTGGCACTCAGCTTTCTTTATAGTCCAACTCTTACATCCATAC